CTGAGGACCCTTCTCTCATCTTTTTTTCTGCATCAGCCACACTAGTTCTTTCTCCATCCTTCCCTCTCCTGTCCTTGGTCCTGTCACAGAACCTTTCATACACTGTTCCCTCTGCCTAAAACGCTCTTCCTCTCTCTCACCTGATCCTTCAGGTCTCCCCATAGTCGCTTTCTCAGGAAAGCCTGCCTTAGCTTCTCAGAAAGGTGAGACTCACCTGTCCTATACTTAGATAACACCTGCCCCATCTGGAATTTTACATGTATTTGTGTGGTTAATTAATGAATGTTGGTCTCCCTAGCTAGATGCTAATATGTGTTAGTTTAGGGACCTTGTTTGCACATAATAGTTGCTTGGTAATATTTGTTGAATGAAAGAAATGAATAAAGGGGGAAGGGAGATGAGCCTAGAGAAATAGGCAGGGGCTGGGCTATCTAAGGTCTTATTTGCACAATAGTTAGCTTGGACTCACCCTGTAGTGTGACATGTCAGCTCTGTGGTTTCACTCTGACAGCAGTGTGAAAATCTCATCTGAGGGAAGCAATTTGTGAGGTGGAAGACCAGTTAGGAGGCTGTTAAGTTGTTCTGCAAAGAGATGATGAGACTTTGAACAAAACCAGGGTGGAAGGGAATATATTAATATTCTTAAAATTTGTTTTACTGCTAAGGTGACTCTTATGGTAAAAAGAGAGTGAATATATATTTGGCGGGAGCTAGGGAGTACACCAAAACAGCTTGTATAAGCTAAAATTTCTCAATTTTTATCTTAAAAAGTTAATAGAGGGACTTCCCTGGTGGTCCAGTGGTTAAGACACCACGCTCCCAATGCAGGGGGCCCGGGTTCGATCCATAGTCAGGGAACTAGATCCCACGTGCTGCAACTATGCAACTAAGACCTGGCACAGCCAAATAAATAAAATATTTCAGAAAAGGTTAATAGAAATTTTATTCTAGTCCATAATATATCCATGTTTTAATATAAAATTATTTGACCCCAGTCTTGCTGGTCTATCTATATTTTGTGGATTTGTGGCAGGAATTAGAGAGCTAATTAGAAAACAACAGTAGTATGATAGTGACCTAATCAGATAAGATGTTAGAAAAATCACCCTATTGCTAGACTAGGCAGCACACATGGAGCAGTGTTGACATTTAGGAATTGAGCAGCAGTAGAGCATAGAGAGTCTGGAGCCAGACTGTTTGCATTCCTCTTGACTCCACCCCGTGACTAGCTGTGTGACATTTGGCAAGTCACTTAACCTCTATGCGTCTGTTTCTTCTTCTCTAAACTAGGAAAATAATTATTTCCAGGGAGTTAATGTGTAGATTAAATGATTTCGTTTACATTAAAAGGAAAGTGTTTAGAATAGTGCCTCATACATAATAAGTGCTCTGTAAGTGATAGCAGTTATTTTGTACATTAATCTATCACATAACATCACATCAAATCATATGAATCTAGGTAACCTTATAGTAAGCACTCTGTAAATATTTGTTGAACTAATTAAATTTCTTCAAGAGTAGCGTCTTCTATATCTGCACTCTCCAGTGTGGTGGCCAGTAGCCACATGTGGGTGTTGAGCTCTTGAAACGTGCCTTGTGCAGAGGAGGAACTGAATTTTTTACTTTAATTAATTTACATAGTCATTGGGGGTAGGGACTGCCATATTTGGCTGCACGAGTCTGGAGTGTGACTGTGTCTCTTTGCATTCATCTTCTGCTCTGTAAATACTGAGTCCAGGTTTCAAGTACTCCTCATGGGTCTTGTCTCTACTCCTGGTTGTTACATTCTCACCCTCAAAATGTAGTACTGATTCTAGACATCAGATGAATCTTTAATACATTTTCGCTTATTATTCTGATTCTTTTTCCTGCTTTAGAATCATCAAAACAGTACTTCTGAAAACATTGATGGCATTTAATATTTTATTTATTTATGTATGTATGTACGTATGTATGTCTGTGTTGGGTCTTCGTTGCTGCGCGCGGACTTTCTCTAGTTGCAGCAAGTGGGGGCTACTCTTTGTTGCGGTGCGCGGGCTTCTCATTGCAGTGCCTTCTCTTGTTGGGGAGCATGGGCTCTAGGCGCGCGGGCTCAGTAGTTGTGGCACGTGGACTCAGTAGTTGTGGCTCGCGGGCTCTAGAGCGTAGGCTGAGTAGTTGTGGTGCACGGGCTCAGTTGCTCCGTGGCATGTGGGATCTTCCCGGACCAGGGCTCGAACCCATGTCCCCTGCATTGGTAGGCTGATTCTTAACAAGTGCGCCACCAGGGAGGTCCCAATGGCATATAATATTGATGAGCAGAAGATGACCATATTTTTTGCTTCCTAATTGTGAGTCATTTTTATTTTTAGATTTATAGACACCAGTTAGAATGAGCAAGACAATTACTTTTTTTATTATCTTTGTATACACACCTGCCTTTATAGCATTTATCCTTTAATGAACTGTATCACGCAAACTTTTTACACAGATATCGTAAGAGAGTAAAAAATACTGTCATATCCTTTTAGCAAAACAAGTTGGTTCCAGTTATTGTCACGGAATATTGGGTAATAAAGTAATTCTAGCGTAATGACTGACTGGATGAGAATACCATGTTTCCTTTTTGTCCTTGGAAGTATATTGTTCATTCACTGATTCTTGAGTTTGAGAAAATTCACTTAGGGCAGGGTTTCTCAACTTTGTCACTGTTGGTGTTTTGGGCTGGGTTGTGCATTGTAGGATGTTTAGCAGCATCCCTGCCCTTTATACACTAGTTGTCAATAGCACTCCCCAGTGTGGCAACCAAAAATGTCTCCAGACATTGCTAGATGTCCCTTGTGGGACAAAGTTGCCTCAGTTGAGAACCACTGATCTAGAATATCAATATCTCAAGACTCAAGTTCTGAGGTTACACTTATATGATTAGTTTTATCATCGTTAATGGAGTTTGTCTGTTAAAACTTTCTGCAGTGATACGAATGTTCTGAATCTGTGTTGTCCAGTGTGGTAGCCACCAGACATGAGTGCTATTAAGCACTTGAAATGTGGCCAGTGTAGCCAAGGAACTGAATTTTTTTTTGTTTAATTTAATTTTAACAAATGTGGCTGGTGGCTGCTGTTTCGGACAGTGCAGGTTTAGTGTGCTGCTGTATGTCTTTTTGCATTCAGCTTCTGACTTATCTCTTAATTGTGAAATGCCTTTCCTTATCAGTTTTTTTCTCTTTGTCATTATGGGTAGAAAATTCTCAATTCCCAACACTCTTCAATGAAACCTTAAAAAAAAAAAAAGACTACAAAGATGGTGTTCCCAGATTTCATTTATACCTTGCTGAAAGATCATGTTATACTCTGAGCAACGTAGTAAAAAAGTTGAGGATAATGTAATAGTGCTGATTTATTTTTATTTTGTTATTGTATTACTTTTCTAGGTGATTTTATCATTTCTTATTTATCTTTTTAATAAATTATTTATTTTATTTAATTTTGGCTGCATTGGGTCTTCGTTGCTGCTCGCGGGCTTTCTCTAGTTGCGGCGAGCGGGGGCTACTCTTTGTTGTAGTGCGCGGGCTTCTCATTGCGGTGGCTTCTCTTGTTGCAGAACACGGGCTCTAGGCGCGCAGGCTTCAGTAGTTGTGACACATGGGCTTAGTTGCTCCGCGGCATGTGGGATCTTTCCGGACCAGGGATCAAACCCATGTCCCCTGCATTGGCAGGTGGATTCTTAACCACTGCACCAGCAGGGAAGCCCCCATACTCAGTATTTTTGTAGATTATATTCCATTATAGGTTATTACAAGATAATGGCCGTAATTCCCTGTGCTGTACAGTGTATCCTTGTTACCTATTTAACGTAGTTCTTTAATGGAAATATTTTCATTTTTATCTAGAGAGCTGTAGAGGGTGCTATATCATTAGGAATAGTAGTCTGAACTGGCTTTAGCTAATTATAAGAATTCCTTTAGGCAAGAGAATCAAAGTTAATTTTTCTTGGATTTACTTCTTTTTTTTCTATTTTAACTGAAAGTAGAGTAACTAGTGTTGCATAATTGATATAGTTTGTAATGAATATTAATCTAATATACCTGGTTATGTTTTTCATCTCCCAGAGTCTTTGAATACAGTTGAAATGATGATTTCCCCACTTTATATTGGTTACAATAACAAAGGTTTATTTTCCTGCCAACTCCCCTCACCCTCCCCTCCCCTCCCAAATTGAGAAATCTGATATTTTGATCTGTATGCTGTATAAGCAATCTCTTCTTCTCTTCAGATGGGTCTCAGTAAGGTCAAAGATAACCTTTGAATGTATATTTTAGGAATGTATGTTTTAGGTAGCGCTGGTTCAGAAGAGTATTATCTTTGGAGGAAAGACTGTTAGAACAAAATGGAATTTAAAAACCTGAGCAGACTTTTAGGAGCTGTTTTTGTTGAGAGAGAAGGCTGGCTTTTCTGGCTGATTAATTTATTATTCAGAAAGGAGTTTGGTAAACTCCAAACTTCGCTGTTCCTAATTTTTCTGGTTTAATAGTGATTTTAGAAAACTTGAGGTAGAATTATCTGATAATATTTCTATCTTAAAGGATTGTTTTTAGAAGTTCAATTTTTAGTAACTTTGGATTCAGTTTCACCAGGGCTGAAGAATAGAAATTATTTGAACTTGGTCAGTTTAGATGGAGTGGTATATTTCGGAATAAAAGGCAATGAGTAGGCTATGTTTTTTTTTAAAAATTACAAAAAGATGTTAAATAAATATATCTTTCTTAAAAGTAGGCAACTTGAAAGGATTCTGATCCAAACCTTGTCAGGAATTTGTTTCTTTTCCCTGAAACTGTATTTTAAATATTTATCATGAAGTTTAATACTATAGTTACTTAAGAAAAATTAAGCAAGAATTTGTACTCCCGTAGTCCCCTGAAAGTGAAAGTATTTCTCTTGTTGTGGGTAAAAGGATTGCTATTGTTCAAGCTTCCTTATTAAACAAGTGTGCTCTGTGTTTGTGTTTGTTTTTAAATCTCAAGGCACCACCTTCCATGGTTAACACTGAGCAGCGCCAGCATGCTGAGCATATATTCTTATCATTTAGGAAATCAAAATCACCATTTGCAGTTTGCAAGCATATTTTGGGTAAGTGTTTACTTTAAAAATACCTAGTTTTTCTATCTTGAACTTTAGATATTTTAAATTCCTTTAAAAATAAGCAGGTTTGTACAGTTATAATTTTCCATTAATAATCATTCCACTGAAGTGGCTTTAAAGATATTCCATAAAGCCAGAGAGAAAACTCTGATTTTGCTTTGGATTTTTCTTCCTTAAAGAAAACATTCAATAAGTTGTTTTATTATTGACCGTAATATCAAGGCTGTTAATGGTGGGAGGAAAATCTAATGTTTTTTCTGTTGTTTTCAAGTATGATATCACTTATAGGAAATGTACTATAACGTATCCCAGTGTTTTAAAATTAAGATTATTTTTTGGGGTTTCTACAGTTTCTTTTAGTTGTTTTTTCATCATTTTTTAAAAACCATGTAGTTTGTACTCAGCTCGCTTAGCGAATATTGGTTAGTTCTGTGTAGGATCTTCATTGTATGTCCTAAAATGAAGCATTGATTTTTACTCTTGTCAAAAATGTTTTGTGAGTACCTTATGTCTGACATATGTATGGAAGTGATCTCTTTCCTTTAAAAATTATCACAGAAGTCATAACTTATTCAGAGATGGCATTTTCTCTGCCTCTTAGGTATTTTTCAATAATAGTTAAGAGAGATTTCATTGGTTATTGTTATTTTATAATCTGATAATTGTTGGCTGTTTTTCTTAATTGGAGCCACTTTTTTTGTAACCCATATTGAAGGCTCAGAAAAGAAGGCTATTTGAGTTGTCCATGACCACAGAATTGGTTAGTTGAGCGTTAGGAACGAAACTATCTGACCTTTTATTCTTGTGCTTTTAGGAAGACTAATCCGTAGCCACCAGCACTCTGGTTTCTGGATGGAAACAGCCTGCCATTCCAGCTCTGTGTGCAGAGTGCTCTCCAGCTCAGGGCTGGGGTGAGGACTGTGGGGCTCAGTGGGCAGGGCCGGGCGCCAGGGTGCCTGCGGCCTGGAAGCAGCTTGAGGAAGTCACTTCACCTCTCAGGCCCTTTTTTCATCTGTGAAATGGGCATAATGATGTCGTTTGCCTTAAATGGACTTGACTGTCTTAAGTCGTAGTGAGGTGCAGACGTAGTAACATTTGAAAGCACTTTGTGAACAGTCATGTACATGTCATTGCCCCGTTACTTCATTTCAGATGGCCTTTGAAATATGCTCTGTCCTCTGCACGGAGCTAGCATCAGCGGTAAAGGCGGCCTTGTCTCCTTCAGGAGTTAGATCTTACATTAGAGAAGCAGTTTAATAACCACCTTTAATTCTAAATGAGGCGGGGATTTTTGTTTTTTGGGTTTTTTTGAGTAGTCTGTTTTTATACTCGGTTGAATTTGCTTCTGGCACTAAGGAAATTTGTTATCTTGTGGAGAATAACTCAGTGTTAAATTAAAAGAAGCAAAACTAAACATCATTAAGAATTTAAGGGAGCCTTGCTTCATCCTTACTGCCTTGAAACTGCTGAGCATTAATAGATGTAGAAAACCTCAGATGATCTGAGTCTGGCTCTTGTGGCTGTGCCCTCACTGCATAAACAGGGTCCCAGTGGTGTCTCATCTGACTTCCGACTGACTGTGACTCAGTTGTCCTTCTGTGCTAGCTGGAAATACCCAATCTAAGTGATAAGTATGTTATTAGAGTGTATTTGTTTATACCACTCTTTCCTTTTTAGAGTATGTATACGTTATGAAGAACTATTGCTTTGTTATGCTGTGAGCTTGTTTTAGAATACTTTTGTTTTCCTGATAAAAATTTCTAAAGAATAGTATTGCTAGTTCCAGCCGCGCTATTGGAAGCAGTTTGGGTTTTGAGACATTAACTGTTTAAAAGGTTGGGTGCATGTGTTATAAGCATAATCATTAATGTACTGCAAAGCCTTGTGTTACATTAATGTTTACATCTAAACTTCACAGAAAATCTTAACTCCTTACTCAGTTGCCACCAGCCCAGAAAGGTTAATTCCTCTAAGAAGACTTCTCATGCACGTGGCAGTCGATCGCAATCCAGAATTTTCACATTCTTATTTCGGGATTATAAGTCATTTTTATAGAATGTCTGGGTGATAGATTCTAATGAAGGGGAGACTTTCTCTTGGATGCTTCCCTTTTCTGGCCTCTTAAAATTCTTCCTTCCCACTTCTAACTTAAGTTTTATTATGTTTCTCATTTTATCTCATTTCTTTCTCGTCTTATTCTTTTGTTTTCACTGTAGTTTTAATTTCTTTGCTCTTTTCTGTGTGTTTGTGCACGTGCGTGCGTGTGCATGTTGCATGCTTGTGCGTTTTGTTAGAAGAGCACTTTCAGACCTCTTGGCCTCAGAAGTCTCTGGCACTTAGGAATTTACTAGTTTTGTAGGGTCAGGTGTTCCTTCAAAAAACCTGTGAGTTCTGCTCTTGTTAAAGAAATACCCCCAGACCTTGAGGGGTCGGTCCAGCACTTCTGGAGCTAACTTAGCAGCTTCCTTTTGCCCTTTTCTCAGGGAGAAAAGGATTTCTTTCGTTTCTTATCTCGGAGGTATCCGAGACAAAACAGAACGAGCCTGAGACTTATTACATTACCGTTGGTGTGCTTGTGTGTGTCACTGTGCAGCTTACGTTGCCTCTGCTTTGGACAGGAGCCCCAGGGCCGGAGAGGGGAGCGTAGTTGCCGGAAGCCAGAATGCAGTGGTCTTCCTCTCGGCCCTTACCTTCACTCTCGCTTTAGTCTTCCTGGCTCGAATTTCAGATGGCCGACAAGATGCGTGTGAATCTTATTTACGTAATTATTATTAAAGAGTTACTGTGGTAGGAAGTGAAAGCTTCCTGCTAAAGTGGCTTAAACTAAATTGTCATCTAAACAGTGTCCTAGTCAGTGGGAAATCATCCCTAAGAGTATTAGAAATTCTAGATGAACTGTGAGTTCTGCACAAGGACCTTGCAATTTTGAGCATCTTTCCAGCAGGAAGCAAGAATAAGGCTCCTGTGTGTGTCAAGTCCTCATCCTCTGCTGGCAGGCTTCCGGAGCTCCCGCGAGCATCTTCTGCACATTTCTGTTGTGTTTAAGTGCAGTCTGTGAAGGCCAATGGCAGTTTTTATGAGAAAGTGTAATTTATTAGGTTAGGAAAACTTTAACTTTGGAATCTGGCTTTCTTTTTTTTCAGATTCCTCCATTCTTAGAGACAGTTTCTTATAGGAATAGTAATTTAGAGATCTTCATTGATACCAAACAGAGAAATCTAAGGAAAAGAGGTATCTTGAAAACTTCTGAATGTGATTTACTTTCTGTAATTGTCCCCCTACTGACCCTTGCAAAAAAGGGGAGGGGGCAGAAAAAAGCTAGGCTGTAAGCACAGGGAGTTAGACAGGAGCGTGTTTCCTTGCTCACGAGAAGCAGGAGTATGTGCTGGGCCTTGTCTAGTTGGCACCTGCATTTAGGGCAAGGCGCATGTCACCAGAGGACATCACCCAGCCACGCGGGCTGCAGTTTCCTCTCACAGTCTCTTGGTGCATCAGTTTCTTCAAGAGTCAAATGCAGGGATCGGATTAGATGATCTTCGGAGTTCTATTTCTAAAATTCTATGAGTCCCTGCAATTTTGCTTCCTTGTTAAAATCCATGGTTAAGAATTTCAGGTCCTTAAAATGTTTACGATTTCAGTAGAAAGTACAGATAGGCAAACAACCATCATTTTCTTTCAAGAAGAGGTTTATAATAAGAGATGATTTGAATTACCTTTATGAGGCAGTACCATATTTCTCCTTAGTGAGCAAAATAGATAGAACTGGTTTCTGTTTCCAGTCCTCTTTGAATAAAACACTTTTTTTCTCCTGAAACTTTAAACACATCTTTTTATAATAGGTTTACATTTTTGGAAGCTGTTGCTTTATTTATTCATTATATTTTAAGGTTTCTAAATTTTTGTGAGTTCTGATTACCATCTCAATTAGAATTCATGTTAAGATGGCATGGACTAATCAAACTTAAAAAAAATAAAGGTCCAGATTGGTTCCTCTTACTAGTTTTAGTATGTTCAAAACTCCCGTGCTGTAGCCTAGTGTGATAGGAATTGATGTAGGCATACCTTTTCTCGCACAGTTTTATAGAAAATTGTGTCAAGATCACTTGTAATATTTTTAAATGATCTGTGCTTGAAATGGAGAGAAAATGATGTGCCTGCCTGTATCTTCATTCTCTTCTGAGAAGTTCTTGAAGGTGTTATTCTGTGCCTAGAGGTATTTCTCGGGCTTCCAGGCACTCCTGTCTAGTGATCTTGGCAAATACCCAGGAGTTGAATCAGACTCTGCATGGGTTTCGCATGATGGTTATTTTGTAGAGCTTCAAAAAGTTTCTGCTTTTTCTTGACTTCATTTTGACTGTTTCTCCCTTTTGATAATGCTATTTGGAAACTGACTGTAGTGGTATTGCTGAATTAAAGAAAAAATAGAAAATTAATGTAAAATATTTCTTCAATATGTTAATTTTCTATTTTTTTCCCCTCCTGATTCAGTTCTTAGTTTGGATACTGTAACTTGCTAGTTAAAGCTGGATCTTTCTGAGTGTAGCTTTGGGATTTTACTCAGTTTGATCAGTATTGCAATCAGAAAATGCACAAGAACTTCTCACCTTGTGTAAATGTGATCCCCCCCCCCCTTTTTTTTTAACATTTTGAGAAAAAGAACATGAACATGATTGTGTTTATTTCTGAACTTGCTATTGGAGACGGGCCATCCTGCTGAAAGCTTGATTAATTACTGAACAAACATATTTTGACAGCATGGCTCCTCGCAGATAGTAATGTTCAAAGACTAGTTTATTAGATACTTTTCTGATACAGAGTTCTGTTTTGCACAGGGTGAGAATCTCTTAGGAAATTTTCTGATTGCTTTATATTTTTATTTTATTTTTTTTAAAGCTGTGTTATTTTTTAGTTCTTCATGCTTTGGAAGTAACAGTTGAAGAGAGGTGAGGAAAGTTTGTGAAAATTGTGATCGGTGATTAGCTGCCACCTGCCTGAGGTGTCTTCTGAGAGGAACTAACCTCTTTGTGGTGCTAGAGCAAAGGTCACTGGATAAAAAAGGAACAGGTAACCATCTCATTCCTTGTCTGAAAGTTCTCTTTAAAATTAAGAAATGCACAATGTTCAGGGGAAGGTGAGCTGCTGTTTGAAGAAGGTGTCTGTTTCCTCCTTAGAAACGAGTAAGGTAGACTACGTCCTCTTTCAAGCTGCCACAGCCGTCATGGAGGCCGTTGTCCGCGAGTGGATCCTCCTGGAGAGAGGGAGCGTCGAGTCACTGCGCACATTCCTCTTAACCTACGTCTTACAGAGGCCTCAGTAAGTGCGCAGGGGAGGCGCTGCCAGACGCTTCCCTGAGCCATCCTTTGGGATGCTTTTTCCTTTACTTTTTAATGATTGACATTTATGGTTAAGCCCTGTGTGGGCTTGTATTTTAAAAACCCACACACGATTGTAGGTTGTTTTGGGACTTAATGAAAGAATACTTTTTAATTTAAGCTTGTGTCACTGGGTTTTGTTTCTTTGAAGAGATTGTGCTTCGATGTTAGGGTTTTTTTTTGTTGTTTAGTTCCGGGATTTTGGTTATAAATAAAAGTTGATCTTTGACTCTGTCGAAAATCCTTTATACTTAACTTGATCTTCTTTTGGTTCTTGGTATGTATTATAAGACGTAAGTGAGTAGCCAGGAGGGTGAGGGGAGATCAGGCACCATTATCAAACCAAATGTTACACGTATATGTATGTGTCAATACCTAGAAACGTGCATTGAAAAGGTTGTAGAAGAAAAAGTACCAGATTCTTTAACGATTTTTTTTGGATAGGGGATCAGATTTGAGGAATGGGATGAAAGTGAATTTTCTTTTTATATTATACACGTATTGTTTAAAAAATTTACAAGATTGTGTGTATTCATTGCTTGTATGATTTAAAAACAAATAAGGAAAACTATTAGCCGTACAACTTTGGGAGAAATTCATTTACTCTGTATCTTTTTTTTTAAAGTCCCCTTAATTCCAAGTTGTCTTCTAAGACGAGGCACCGTACATTGTATGTATGCAGTTTGTGCCGTTGGATACTTTTTTCATAGATACTTAGTTTCACACTCAGTGAAGAAAATGTTACATAATCAGAAATGCTGGTAATTCGGAATGTTGATTGACGGCGATAAAGATGCATAAAACTTTCGAGCGTGCTGTCATACCTTTGTTCCTGCTGACTTCACTGACAGCCTCTGAGTTCATAATATTTAATAATAATTACTGGCATGACTTTTGCACTCAGTAAAGTGCTAATAAGTGCTTCACATATCGAAAAATGTATGAGAGAAAAAAACCAAGTGTTACTTAGCCTATTAGCATTACAGGTTTAATGGACAGCGGGTTCCAGGGATTAGCAGGTATACAGATCTCTGAGTGAGGGTGTGGCTTATTTTTTCTGATTTTAACAGAATAAGGAAAACTCGCCCCCATTTCAAACCTTTCTCTTCTCCTTCATGCTGGTTTTCTTCCTTTATTTAAATTTTAATCCGTTGCTTAATGAACCCTTTTGGGTGGATACCAACTTGCCCTGGAGCTGCTGATTTATCACAGCCCCACCTCCACCCCCCACTGAACTCGGCCGGTTTCAGCTGTGTTTATGCATGTCATCTCTTGTGTCATCCAGAATCATCTCACCGTAATAATTTTGATTCAGGAGTTATTTTAGAGTTGATTGTAGGGTTCCACATTGAAATAGTTCACTTATAATATTGTCTCCCAAACTCTTTCTTTTTTTTGCTGTGCAGCTTGTGGGATCTCAGTTCCCCACTAGGGATTGAACCTGGGCCATGGTACTGAAAGCCCAGAATCCTAACTACTAGGCCACAGGGAACTCCCCCAAACTCTTATTTTGGAAAAAAGAAAAAAAAAGTTTTCAGCCAAGTTGAAAGAGTAGTACTGGGAACACTCACGTGCCTTCTCCCTAGTAGAGGCTCAGCCAGCATTTAGTGATACTACATCCCTGAAGACTGTAGCATGTCTCTTCTAAGAGATCATCTGGATACTCCTGATATAATTACTATATTTATATTATTTAATATAATTCTGACCTCATATTTTGATATTTCTAATGTTCTGGAAAATGCTATTTATATCCTTTTCCTCCTTTATAGGTTACTTTTTTGATCCAGGGGTTAGCCTCAGATTACATGTTGTATTTAGTTGTTGTGTCTCCTTTTTTTTTTTTTTTTTTTTTGCAGTACGCGGGCCTCTCACTGCTGTGGCCTCTCCCATGGCTCACGGGCCCAGCCGCTCCGCGGCATGTGGGATCTTCCCGGACCAGGGCACGAACCCGTGTCCCCTGCATCGGCAGGCGGACTCTCAACCACTGCGCCACCAGGGAAGCCCTGTGTCTCTTTTAATCTAGAATAATTCTGCCTTTTTTTTGTCTTTCATGACACAGACATTTCAATCTTGTAGAAGGTCTGATGAATGGATTAGAGTCAAGTTAAAACTTTTGGTGCTCTGCATGGGTAGAATGCTACAAGTTATATACTGTAGAATACTAAGTACGTAATGTTCTGTACTTCCCATTGCATGCATGGAAGTTTTCCTTTTCTATTTTTTTCCTCCTAATTGTGATTAAAATTTGCACAGAGTGAAATGCAGGGTACACTTTTTAATTTTTATTTATTTTTTGGCCACGACCGCATGACATGTGGGATCTAGTTCCCTGACCAGGGATCAGACCCACACCCCCTGCATTGGAAGTGCAGAGTCTTAACCACTGGGCCACCAGGGCACACTTTTTTAAAGGCAGTACGGCATAGTGGTTGAGAAAGGGACTGTGAGTCCCCCTTTGCCACTTAACTCCATGACCGTGGGCAGATTATTTAACCTCTCTGTGCATTAATTTTCTGATTATTAAATGGAGTGAATAACAGCACTGATAGTACTTTACTAAAAAGATTGTGAGGATTAAGTGTACTAATTTTTGTGAAGTTAGTTTATATAAAGACAGGTCATAGGCACTCCATAAATGTTGGGTATTATTATTTATTTTCCTAGTAATTTATAATTTTTGCCAGTAACAATGTTTAAAGCCAGCTTTATGTACATTTCGAGTAGCAGTCAGTGTGTTTGAAACTATCGTGTCCCCTCAAAAGTACGAATATTCCCTTTGGTCAATTCACACTCTTGCACACAGTAGGATCTTTGCTTTTATTCGCTTAGTGAATGCTTCAAGTCTGTTTTGAAGGAATCCTTTTCGTCCTTGACAGAGCGAGACACGTTCGTTCGTTTGTATGAATGTCTGGTGAGTGCGTGTTATGCCGCAGGCGGCGTGCTTTCCTGTGGGACTACAGCAGCATGCTCGGCGCGGCGCGCTGCGTGTTGTGTGAAGTGTGAGGGAGCCCTTCTGTGTACTGACCAGCCACGTGCAGAGAGTGGCATTTACAGGCCAGGAACTGAAAGAGGTTTGGTGTAGCTGTGGTCATGAGAGTGCGTGGAGGGGCTGCCATGAGAGGGGAGCAGATCCCTGGCCATGAAGGGCCTTAGAAGTGGGTGGCCATATCGTTTATGTCCAAATGGGGACACCTTTCAGAGTAAAAGAAAGCACTGTTCATCATTGTTCTGGACAGCGGGTAAATTGGGAGTACCCCAGGAAGGCTGGGATGGGACCCACTGCTTCTAAGCCGTGTTAGGGAATTTGGGTTTTATCCCAAGGGCATGTGGTGGTTGTATCTGTACGGCATTCTAGAGGCTGGATTATAGTTTAGGGTTATGTTTTCTGAGCCTTCTTTTTAAGAAACGGTTGTGAAAAGGCAGTTAAATCCGTGTGCCCTTGTGGCCCAATGGCCCTTTGTAGGAGGCCTCCATCTGAGATGGGTGCTTCTGCCACCACACTGAGGGACAGATATGAACATTAGATATGAACATTTACAAAGGCTTAGAAGAACGTGTATGTTTCCATAATGTTGTACCTTGGCTAGCTAGCATGTTGCCTTTCCATGTTAAAGGGAATGGATGTAAGATGGTACTGCTGGTTGGAGATGGAGATTAGGTCCGAATGTGGCTCTGAACTGGCAGCATGTTCCCCTGGCTTAGTGAGCTGATAACACCACCCGGAGCTGCTGACGCTCACGTAGCGCTTGCTGTGCCCGGGGTGCAGTGTTAAGAATATGTAATTCTTGTGACAGCCCTGTTACTGTTATCCCCATTTCACATGTGAGAAAACTGAGGCTCTGAGTGTGAACGGTCTTGCCCAGGGTCACATAGCCAGTAATAACTGGAGTGTGGATTGGAACCCAGGCCTCTGGCTGTGGAGTCAGCGCATAACCAGGAGCACGCTACCTCAGACGTGAGCCGCGCTGTCAGCAGCTACGGCACAGTGAGAAGTCGGGGAGTATTTTTATATTGGATTTGTGTAAAAGTTTTCACAATGATTTTTATGTTTTACAGCCTCCAAAAGTATGTTCGGGAACAGATTCTATTAGCAGTAGCAGTAATTGTAAAACGAGGATCATTAGATAAATCAATTGACTGCAAAAGCATTTTTCATGAAGTCAGCCAGTTGATAAGTAGTGGCAACCCCACTGTGGTAAGTGTGCTAACTATTCGTAAATACTTAAAAGTTTTATTTTGTATTACGCAAATACCGTTATAGCAACAGTAATGGATATCTACATAAAAGAAAAAAGGCACAGTCTAAGAAATCAAGCAATTTCCATTTGTTCATGTTTTCCTCCAGTCCGTTTTTCACATGTGTGCGTACTGTAGATACAGTATACTTTGCTTTTTCATTTGATTGTTTTTTATGTTGCCAGTGTTCATAATCATCATAAGTTCATAAACCTCGTATGGTTTTCATAATCCTGTTTAATGGTGTCAAATATTACAAGCTAATGTACCATAATATTCTTAACCATTTCCCTTCTGTTGAACATTTCCCCCTCTTTTTAATAAACCGTTGACAAGTACTAGTGATAATGGAAATGTGAATAAAATATAAAATGATATCTGACATAAAAATTCTTAAATGTTGCAATACTAATAGGCCAAGGTATGCCATGACTACCAGGTGTGACTGTCAGCTTCCTGAGTTTTCTGGGAAGCCTGGTTGGTTTTTCCCCTCTCCATCTCCTGTCTGCCTGTGAGAACCGGTCAGCTGGGAGGGTGACGGGTTGTGGCCGCCCTGTCAGAGGCCAGAGGAGCTGGAGCTGGTGTTACTGATCAGCTGTGGTTGTTGGCTGGAACCATTGACTTTTATCAGCTGGGTGAGATTTAACTCATGTTGAATTGGGGTTGGCAATACCTAGCTCTTCTTTTTTTTTTTCTTTTTTCATTGAATTACAGTTGATTTACAGTGTTGTGCCAGTCTTGGCTCTTCTGATTCTCAGGTATTAAATCTTTAAATATTTTGGGTAGTCTATTCACTTTCCCAGTTTCTTTTCTTTAATCATTTGAGATATCTGTGAGGCTGTACCCCTTACGATTCTGTATGGTTGGTGTCTTCAGTGGGCCCTCGGCGCGTGGTGTGATTTTAGGTTGTTTGTGGTGTGAGTTAGGGTGCTGTGGTCATTTTAGGAGGACCGCGTGCACTGTCCCTTCCCTTTCACAGTGTCTGGGTCTCTCCTCGCCACACAGACGTGTGCTCACCTTCCCGCTCCTGCTGTCTGCCCTCCACTCTGCTGGGAGTGACCCAGCAGGGTCTCCACCGAAGGAATAAATGAACAAGTTGTCAGGATTTCCTGTATCTACCCTAGGTATTTTTTGTTTTTCCTTTGGAATTTTCCTTATCAACTTTACTGAGGAATAATTTACAGGCGCTACTGCGTCCATTGAAAGTGTACACTTCAGTGAGTTGTGACAGCTCTGTGTACCAGTGAACAGCCACACAGTCAAGGTACATAATGTTTCTACCTGTGTTTTCATTATTGATTGTGTAGATATTGTGTTCTATGTCACTTTTGTGGCAGCTTTCTTCCAAGAGTAGTGCTGTCCAGTAGAACCTTCTGTGTTGATGCAGTGTTCAGTATCTTTCCTCTCCAGTGCGTGGGACCGCACTAGCCACATGCTGATTTTGAGTGTTTAAAATGTGACTTGTGTGACCAAGGAACTGAATTTTTAATTTTATATAATCTTAATTAAATTTTATTTGAATTCAGATAGCCACATGTCGCTAATGGCAACCATATTGGACCATGTAGTCTAGAGACTTTAATATCTAAAGGTCTAATTTTATGTTCCTAACACTTAATCTTAGTATTCTAAAATTTAATTGTATATCTAAAACTAACAACTTCGAAGATGTGCATGTTTGCATCATTACTTTTTTTTTTTTTTTTTTTGGTACGCGGGGCTCTCACTTCTGTGGCCTCTCCCGTTGCGGAGCACAGGCTCCGGACGCGCAGGCTCAGCGGCCATGGCTCACGGGCCCAGCCGCTCCGCGGCATGTGGGATCTTCCCAGACCGGGGCGCGAACCCGTGTCCCCTGCATCGGCAGGCGGACTCTCAACCACTGCGCCACCAGGGAACCCCAGTCATTACGTTTTATGAGTTATTTTGGCTTTGTTTTATATAGTGAGGAGCTCTGTTGAAAATAGTCCCCAGATAAGATTCCGTTTACAATGTTTTGAGGTGGAAATGATTGGGAAGCTACTTTTTACTAATAATAATCTATATGCTCTCAAAATTCTCTCTATTGGTAGACATAGTCTCCCATTTCTGATGAAGAGCTTTGCTCTCGGGATACTGATGCTTCAGGGCTGCCCACATTCATTGTGTCAGTACATCCGTAGTCTTACATTTCCGTGGATATCTGTTAGCATTTCCTGCCTAACCAATGGCCGTGTGCGCAGTCCAACGGGGACGTCACTGTTGGTCAAGGGAAAATCAAGTGGTGGTCTGACTAGCCAGAACTTGTAGGGAAAAGGCTTGGAACTGAGGCTGCTACTTGGAAATATTATCCCAGCCCCTACTGCTCTAAATCAAGTTACTCTTCATAATTTTGGTTCTCTTCGTAATGTGTCAGGTGACACATTGTTTCACTTGACAATCTGCGGTGAAGGAGTCCAGCTCATTGGATTGACCAGGATTTAAACTTTAGGAACTTAAGCAGCAACTCTGGGATCTCTGCTTTTATGACTGTAGTTGGGTGATCATGTTGACTGGGGTTTCAGTATTAAGGTAGGATTTCTACAGCCTGTCCTCACCCCCACGAGTAGCTTCTTGGCAGCCGGATGCCGAAGGAGTCGGAGCCCTGGCCCCTCAGCAATGAGCACACACTCGGGAATTGTGTTCTCCGCTCCCTCTCCCCGGGTAATCTGACCCGCCACAAAAAGTAGGCCCACTGCAACCTGGCAATTGGTGTTTTTGAGCCACTGAAATAACTGATGCTCTGAGAATGATTGGAACAGATGTAGCTGTCTAGTTAGAGAGGATTTTGCTCTGTTCACAGTACATACACTTTGAGGGGAGTGGATAAATTTAATGTCCTCGTGAAATATTCCAAAGCAGTTTTTTAAAGTTGAATTTCTGCTAACAGGGTTGAGAACTTCTGTAGCGGTAAGAAGTCAGTAGCGGGGGGTAGAATTTAATTTCAAGATTGCTGGATGAATTTATTTTGGTGACCACACTGAAAACACAACTCAGAAAGCATTCCTGCGTTTATATGGCAAGTTCAGAATTCCTGCCTGGAGCCATTCCTGCTCATTCAGCAGGTCTAAAAAATGAGGTTACAGACCAGTAAAACATTTTAATCTATCTTCCTCTCTGTCTTCTTCTCAGACTGTTAAGAATTTGTGGGAGTGCTTCAAGAATTTACTTAAGATTTTCTTAGGCTCAGAGACATGAATAGCAGTGGGAGAGAGGTTTAAAACTTTGATAAGAAAGTAAAATGGTAAGATCAGAACATTGATACAATGTTGGCTAGAAACTGTCTTTATAAAGGTGATTTTAAGAGATATTTGAAAGGAAGAGATAACTGACTCTGGCTTTTTTTGGATGAAAGAAAGGGTTGACCTCATGAATTACTAAGTTAGGTGACTAACTTTACCCTTGCACATCTTCTAGAATGATGCTTCCAATCAACCCTAATTGACTGGGAACTGTATGTAGTCTGGCTTTCCTGCTTGCTTTCTAAGAGTGTATTTTTTGGTCCAGCATCATGCTAGTCAAGTATGCATGTTTAAATGAGTTTAGGGGCAGGATAACATGATACAACACAGATTTTGATTTTGGATTTACACTTAGGTTCAAATCCTAGCTCTGCCATTTACTACCTACTTAACTTGAAAAATTGTTTAACTTCTCTAGGTGGTGATTTACTAATACGTGGAATAAATGTGGTAATATCCAGGCCCAGAAGAGGAAAGACAATATTAAGTGCATTTAGTAAGCATTCAGTGAATGTTTGTTTTATGTCCCTAGTTAGTGGTTTCACAACCCTTTGTTTATAGAATCTTAGGACATGAACTATCATCTCTTTCTATCAAATAATATTTTAAGTGTTGAAAATCAGAAGAAAGTATTTATACTATTATCCATGGATGGAAACTAATTGAGTATTTAAAAAATATATAAGCAACGTATTAGCTTTCCTTTAAACGCTCTGAGAAGTATCTTATGGTCTTTGTTCTCTGTAGATGTTTATGAGTTAAACGATTTCCTGTGGAGATTGTATTTTGTAGCCCCATTCAGTTTTCTGTGTATCGTCATGTCCTCTCAGAGGGACAGTGCTTGTGTGGCTATTACGTTCTGTGCTGTCTGCTCCAGTCTGTGCACAGGCTGTCCTCCCTCTGTGGCTGCTTCACCTTGCTTTGCAGTGGTGTTAGACCTCGGAGGGATACATACAGAGGCTTCACTTCCCAAAGAAAGTGGTCAAATTTTAATTAGCATTTAAGCTAAATTTTTAACCTATTTCATGTTTGTTTTAGTTCCTTTGAAAGAAGTAGGCCTATTTAAGTCACTTTTAAAGCTGTTGAATGCATCATTTAAGCCTCCTTTCTTCCTCTTTGCCGTGCTAGAGAGAAGAGGGTGAGAAATTCCCCGTGTGCTGCAGTGCTGCCCCGGACGTGATAGCAACTTAATCTCTCTTATCACAAGTCTCATTGATGTTTGCTTAGAGGAGCAGCTGGAAGTCTGCTTTATGTATGGCAACCTTTCATAAAGTTTATTCTTGGTAATAAAGCTCCTGGGGTAAGAGCCAGGCTATTATAAGAGACAGTCCTCTCTCTGAACAAGAGTATTTTATTTTGTCAGCTGGAGTTAGTGTTTGAGTATCTTGTTCTTGTGACAGTAAGCTGGAGAGTAAGGCAGACTGTCTCTGAAGGGTGTTTTTCCACTGTCATGAAATTAATGTCTTTTACTGGAAATGAGAATTCTGCTGAAAGATTTTTAATGTGAAGGCAGCAGTACTTCAGTTGTTAGCCAGTGAATTAACTTGTGATTTTTTAGTACTTCAGTGAAAGAAAACATATTAGACTCTTTCATAACCTCGAGACCTCATTGAATTTCTTCTGCTTGTTTTACATGTTTAACTTTTCTCTTTGAAATTCATCAGTAGGGAAAAAAAATAGGGAGCACATCATTTATTCATTTTCTGCCTTCCCTTGTGTTAATGTCGTGTCAGGCACAGAGGCAAACAGTGGTTTATTAATCCAGGTGATGTTTAGTGAGTACGCGCTCTATTGCTCTAGTGATGCTTTAGTTTAGTATATATTTTTTTAATCGATAACTTATTTTGTGATTTTAATTTGGTGGATTGCAGATAACAGTCAAGAAGGACTAAGACGCCAAATTTTTTTTTTTTTTTTTTTTTTTTGCGGTACGCGGGCCTCCCTCTCACTGTTGTGACCTCTCCCGTTGTGGAGCACAGGCTCCGGGCGCGCAGGCTCAGTGACCATGGCTCATGGGCCCAGCCGCACGCGGGATCCTCCCAGACCGTGTCCCCTTCATCGGCAGGTGGACTCTCAACCACTGCGCCACCAGGGGAGCCCCCGAAATAGGTTATTTTTTATGATAAGGATGAGAATACTGTTGCCGCTTCACCTTATATCTTACCAGAACCTGCTACATTTACACAGTACTTTTTGTTGCGTTATCTGATTTGAAGGTTAGGACAATCGTGTGAATTCTGCAGTGTACAGGGTAGTAGCCCTTTTCATAGATAAAATCGAGGCTCAGGTAGATGAAGTGGTTTGCTCTCAGTTACTTGAAGTGATAAATCTTGGACTCTCAGAGCCCAGATTCTCTGACTTCTTTTTCTGCACTATTGAAAGAGACTGCAGAGTGTTGTCGCTCAGAATTTATTTGGGAGATAGTTGTGATAGCGATTATTGTTTGGTTTCTGACTTGCTGAAAATGAAAGCTGGCACTTTGGGACTGCTTGTTAGTGCTGGTCAGGTGGCCGGCAGCAGCGAGTGACAGGCACAGACAGAGTGATCGGGCAGAGCTGTGGGCAGACGCGCATCGGGGCTTGGGGCTCTGCCCCCAAGTGTCGTAGGCTGGGAGCCCTGCCCTGTGTGTTTCAGCAGAGTCCAGGCGCTCTCCTTGTCACCACGTCATGTAATCATTGCCTTAGAAATGATTCTCTTGGAAAATTTTACATGAAGGAAGTTTCATTAAAAGTGTTTGCTTGCTGCATTTGGAAAATTAAGATACTACCTGACTTCTTTATGATCCTGGATAAATGAAGCATTGCCACGTGAGCCTCTTGGAAGTCTAAGATTTGTACTAATGGTACTCTATACTGGCTTCATCCCTGTTAACTTCAGTGTTACAACCCCATATATGCTGCTTACCAGTCAGTCCGTCACCTTTCAGCTGGTTTCATTGAGACTCACCTCTCTGCAGTACCCACCACAGGTTTTGTCTCCGACCCTCTGAAGTATTGGAATCACCATCTCTAGTACAGAAATAAGATCCAGCCCTGCCTGAGGCAGAGGCAGCCCTGGAGGCACTGGTCCGTCGGGGGAGGGAGGGGGGTCAAGAGGTAACACACTCGGGGTGACCCCTGACACCTAGAGTGTGAAGCAGGCAGACTGAACGTCCACAAGGGTAAGGACGACAAGAACTTGTGGGTGCCTTTCCCCCGCTTCCTTCCTCCGTTTCTCTGTCCCGAGAAGGAGCTTCCCTAGCTGTCTCAGTGCCCCTGCTCTGCAAGTCACTTTATGTTAGTGAGATTTAATTGATAAATGGTTGTGGAAACGAATAAACGTATCGGGTAATGCGTCTTAGACACACGGTGTGTGCTTGATTCCTCTGTGAATAGGGAGAAGTGCTTTTCTGATCTGTGCAGAGTGCTTTGCTCTTTTAATGTACAATCAGTGCTTCCTATTCATCATTCTCCAGGAATTTCTTAATTAGCACCTCTGAGCCACAGTAGTATAATCTTTTTTTTTGGCCACACCATGCGGCATGTGGGATCCTAGTTCCCCCACCAGGGATCGAACCCGGGCCCTCACAGTGAAAGTGCCAAGTCCTAACCACTGGGCCGCCAGGGATTTCCCTATAATTAATGTTTATGATGCTAATCTCAAATCCTTTCAGGGCTTCCAGGTTAAGGAGCAATTAAACTGTTTGGTTATCTTTTAATGATGAAAATATCTTACTGAATTTTAGTTCTTATAAAGCTGGTAATTTTAGGTGGGTCAAGGCCAGGACATTTGACTTCTGGCATTACCACAAACCATGCTGCATAATTTATTTTTATGTATTTCTTAAGTCTTTTGAGTGGTAAATTTGGTAAGGAGACACTTGTTTTGGAAAATTTGTCCTTTTATTTCATAAGTGGAAAGTGGAAAAAGTAGAATACAAAACAGTACATTGGGTTAATAGTAATGGTATTGTAATAAATAATGTATAACTGCATTTCAAAATTGGAAAGCTGTAAACAAATATTACAGTAGTAACCTATGGATGGTTACTTTTGTAGGAAGAAGAAGTTATTTAAAAACAAAATGTTCTTATGTTCAACAAGCTAAGTCCACAATAAGAATGTGTTTTGTTCATACTTATGCACTAAGAACACACTTTCTTTTATGGGTGAATTTGTACTTCATTGTTGTGAAGTTTGTAGTTGTGGTGGGATGTCTTTATTGCTACATCTCAAAAGCAGTCCCATCCCACCGAGGGCTCCTTGTTTGTCTGCTGAGGCTTTTACTTTTAAAAACTCTTCCTTTTCCTAAGTAGTAACCTCAAAACGCTTGTCCCTTTTCACTGCTCCTGCCCTTTTCTGCGCTCACTGACCACAAACACGTGCTTGTAATCCTAGGAAGTGTTTATTTCACAGAAAAATAAAGCTTTATTGTGAGTACATGTTGGCTTCAATCATTAATTAGAGTCGTGTTACTAAAAATTTAAATATGGTCGTAGTCTAAAAATATGTTGTTTTGTGGTGAATATAGTTTGGCACTAAAAAACAATTTGTGGCTAAATTACTTGTGCAAAACTACTATAGATAATTTATTGGTAAGAACGATAAGTTTGTGTTTGATGGTGCTTCTGGGTTCTTTTCAGCTTGCATGTTTTTGTATAAGTTGTGCATGAATTCTGTTTTCAGTAGATTGATTATCTCACCTGAGATTCCAAAATTAGTTTCCTTTTTTTAGTAAGACGCATTTTCTTAAACATTTAGGTATCTGTTCATAGTGTCCTGTTCACTGAAGTCTTATTTAGAAAGGGTTGGAGAAGAGCAAAAAATATGGGGAAAGATTGTTTTCAGGATCATATGGTCTTGTAATCCATCATGGTAGATCCTTGTAAGTTAACTTTTCCTTTTGAATTTCATTAATTTGAATTTAATACTACCCACTTTCCCCACCAAAGCCTAGCTGTATTTAAAAACTGTTCATGGTTGATCCCAACGGTATTTAAATGTATCTGAACTTTTGATTGCTGGCACTTTGGTCATTAATCACCATTTTAAAAGAAAGCCATTTTTTAAAATACAATTTTGTTAACTAAAAAAATGAACGATTGTACTTGATGTGTTTCTAAGGTCTCTTTCAACTGTAAGATGAAGTATGTGATAAACTGTTTCTCTGTAAGAGGCTCTTTAATGCTTGGTTTCTTCCTCCTTGTGCCTGGGTCCATGCAAAGGCAGTTGAACTTACGCACTTTTCTTGAAAATTGGGTAAAAGGGGACATTGTAATGTTAAAACAGATGTATCAATATATTTTGAAGTACAATTACAGAGAGAGAGAGAGAGAGAGTGAGTGTGTGTGTGTGTGTGTGTTTAAGCTAATGGAGCTATAGTCAGAGGACTTACTGTTGAACACAGCCCTGTCTGTATACCCCCCGGATTCCCAAGGGTATTTGCACGTATTCTGTGTTGTTAGGGCTTCTTGGTGTGGAAAAGTCTGAGAAACTGCTTGAGTCTCTGGGCTAGTGTGCCATCATAATTGTTAATTATACATCATACTTACCCTAGTTAAGATTGAGGCAAATAGGAATTTAATTCTTTTTTACATTTTCTTAGAGGAAAGTTTTAGACATATACACAGATATACAGATATACTACAAATAGTCTGTTGGTCACCTATGTAACCATCATTCATCTTCAACAAATATCAACTCATGCTAATCTTTAGGAATTTAATTTTATGTATATTTGCTAAGATTTGCCAAGATAAGCATCTGTAAGGTCAAGGTACTGACATCAGAAGCATTTCTGAGCAAAGATGTTGCAGTTGGTGGGCGGGTAGGACCGTGCTCAGCTGTTGTATAAGCTGCATAAATAGTATCATCTTGACTTTAATCTTTCGGTTGTTCAGAGGTAGTGTGCATATTTCTCTGTAACCCTTGGAAACTTGCCAGAATAATTTGTATCGTCCCCATCATGGCACCTTGACTCTGAGTAGTCCATGAATAAAAGCAGCGAGTTGAGAGTAGACGCTTGTTGGATACAGCCATTGAGAAGGAAAATCGTCATTTTCAGTTTTAAAAACTTGGGAGTACTACGTGGTTAATGTTTTGGAGACCATAAAATCCGTTTCACTTTTCATCTATTTGGAAATACATTTTACAGACATCAGAACGTAGAGTCAGACAGACCTGGGTTCAAATCTCAGCTGGCCCGAATTACCTGCCCTTTGAATCTCACTTCTTTCAAATGTAAAATGGGGATAGGGATTGTTGTGTGAATTCAACGAAATGATATGTTAAATACTGATCATCTTAAAATATCATTTACACTCTGTAGTTGAGTACTAGTAGGAGTACTCAGGAGTGTGTCCTGAGTTCAGGTCTCAGATACGTTTGTGTAACTGGAGTGAGGAGGAATACTAAACAGTCCCAAGGCCACTGGGAAAGGAGAGCTAATCTTTATCTTGTCATATCTGACTTTCTGGCTGGTAGGTATAAGATCTCAAGATACCATGGAAGACTAAAGATAAAAATGTTTCATTATGTTTGAACAAATATTGTATTGAAACAAAGCATCGGGAAAATAATGCCTCACAATGATTTGTTATCAAACAATTACAGCAAACTCTGGCCTGTTCTATTCTAACTGCACTATTGAGTGAATTCTCAAGTTCAAGTAAAACTAGCAACATTGGACTGAGTATGGAGTTCCATGGCAACTGCAAAAGAGTTTTTCAGGTACTGGTATTTTTGTTCTTGTGTTTTAATTATTAGATCACTCACTTTTCACTCAATTTGTTGCTAGTGGAGTGAGGACATTGCTTTTATCTAGTTGAACAACAGCCTATACTTGAAGGTTTGCGTCGTGATTTCATAGGATATAGTAAAGCGATAGGTTTGGTGAACATAGTTGACGGTTTAAGATTATTTGTTTAATTCTAGTCTTAAAAAGGAAATGCTACTATTAAGACCCTTAGCTTATTAATTTTGTTCCTATTGTGTTTAGATAGAACTAATTCAATTGGTGGGACTCCGCTGGCCTTAAAAATAGGCCTGGCTATATGCCAGAGAGGGCTGTGTATTTCAGTGTTATTGCAGATGGTGTGGGCTCTTTGTTTCGTGTGTATTGTTTGGCTCTGCAGTAAAGTTGTGTGAAGGCACTGGTTTCAATCCGAGGGCTCCCACTGAAGCTGCTGAGCCCTCAGCTCTGTCGTGGTCGTCAAGACCTGCTTCTCTAGGGAGTGGCATTTATGTGACAGTAAATGTATTCAGACCGGCATCACTGTAGCGTGTAAGCAGGCCTAAAAATGGAAGATGTCCTTGAAGAAGCGATGTTTTCCGTTGGAAACTTTAAGGTTTTTATTTGTTTGTTTTGTTTTATGGTTCTAAAAGGGAACATATCTTGAATAAGCTTTAGATACAAAAACGTGTGGTTAATTTACTGCAGGAAGAAGACCTCCGTCAGATCTTCCTGCTGACGGTGGAAGTCCTGCAGGAATTCAGCAGGCGGGAGCACCTCAGCGCCCAGATGTCATCCGTGTTCCAGCGCTACCTGGCCCTCGCCAACCAAGTCCTGAGCTGGAACTTCCTTCCTCCAAACTATATCCTTTCAACAACCGAACGGTTTATGTGTGGTCACTTTCATAGATTGAATTAATTATGGCTAAAAGTACTTTATCTCTGCAGATTTATGAAACATGTTTTTTGAAAGAAAATAAGAATCTTTTAGAAATGGAATTTTACTTTATTTTATAATACCACAATGCAGTAGAGTACTTAGAAAATTTTCAATTTCATTCATAACTTTGTAGAAGAGGGTTGAATAAGTGGAAACATTTGGTGGGTCATTGGGCTGTTGCTAACCAAGGGATAGGAGTATGCCTTAGGAAGGGAAGGGAAAGAGGTGGGAAGTGCATTTTACCAAGAAACGGAATCATTTTCTCCTGTAACATGTAAATTCCATTCAGATTTTGACTGACTTTCCTTAAGGCGGGTTTGGAGTTCTCTATTTGATCTTTGTGGATTACAGTTGCTCAAGTGTAGATAATAAGGTAGTAACATGTTTACCCTTTGGAGAGTGTTCCCAGTATAAAAATAGGAAAATTCCATTTCTAGCAGGTTATCTATTAGGAATACAAATTAAGTTTAAATAGGTTATATTATTGATACAAAGTGTCTCCTTTTTTATCATTTACTAAAGTGGAGAAATTTGTGTTAGAAATGGAATTCTAGTTCAGAGTTTATGATTTGCTTTTCTAGAAATGGAATTCTAGTTCAGAGTTTATGATTTGCTTTTCTAGAACATCGCTACCTTGATAGATTAAAAGCAGTAATGTACGGTGGGCTGCCCGTATGTATCATAGTTGAGTCACACAGATCCAGGCTCAAGGTTCAGCCAATCTCAGGCAGGTTACTTAACGTCTCTGAGTCTCAGTTTCTCCAAATGTAAAATGAGGATATGGATTGTTGAGTGAATTGAAGGAAACAATACATTTAAAGTACACTCAGGAGTTAGCTCCTGTTCATTGAGCTCTTGGTAGTCTCCTTGAAGCCTCCTCCTCAGCTTGCTGTGCTGTGCTCTTTCTTCTCGATCTGGTATACTGCTTATGGTATAGGAAATTACAGGGAGTTTACTTTAACCTGTTCTAGGTATTGTTAATAGGAGGACGGCGGTGGGGGTCTATTTAGGAGAAAAGGGCAGATGACAAGCAAACAGGACATAGACATCCAGCCACTTGAGAGACGAGGATGAGCCGGGAGCCCTGCACTCACCGACACATATCTGAGCTAATTACCTGGGCTGTAAACTGTGAGGTTTTTAAGGGAGCAGGGGCGGGGTGTAACTCTTTCTTCTGTTTTCAAGCTAATACATTCATGTAATAGAAAATGAGTTGTAAGATGCCATGTAGGGTGCTAGGTCTCTGACGGGAGCCCCGAGTTCTCAGTTCTTTCTCAGAGGCGGTCGTGGTGAGTGGCTGCCTTGCAGGGCAGAGCTCACAGGGAGGCTAGTCATGCCCCCTTCTACCCTAGTCGCTAATCCTCCTTCTGCTAATAGTCAATTTTATATCTTTACTATATTCCTTTTGGCTGTTAAGAGGCACATATTTTCTTAGATTTGCTTTTAAAAAATTTTCCCCTTTGTGTTTTGCTATCTAATTTTTGCTCTAGTTTTTGTTAGGGAAAAAAAAAGAAAGATGTTGAAAAACTTTGAGACAGATTTAAAAAGTAACAGGCCATATGGAGCTATCAAAACATTAATTATATATGGGAAAATCAAGGAAAGTTACACTGCATATATTGTAGCCAATTTTAAAGTCTCTGTTTTAGGGGAAAATTCAGTTGGCTGAAAAGTGACTGTTTTGTAAAGGGAAACAGTGCTCTGGGAGTTTGGAAACAAAGTTTGTCTAAAGATACACACATAAAATATTTTTATAAAGCATGTAGATAGAGCTTTGGAAAACTTGTCATCTAAAAATGATAGGCAGGACTACAGTGTTGCTGAAGGAAAGAATTCATCGTAGATCTTGCTCTTCATGTACAATGTTCTGTTTCATGGCTTACAAGTGAGCTTCTTTGTGCCTATATGTGTTCCTACAGCAGCCATTTGTTGGGTAACAGCTACAGTTAAGCATTCCTTCCTTTAAGTGGATTAGCTTAAGTGTGGGACAAGAATATGGCAATGGAATTAAACGAAGCTGCGTTGTCAGTGCTAATTAAGAAAACTAGTTTCAAGGAACCCAATTCTGCCATAATTTCTAATTTTGGCGGTTACTTGCAGATCTGCTGTTCAATAAGCTGGGAAGGAGTTGAATAATTATTTAGTTTTTTAAATTAATTAATTAATTAATTTTTGGCTGCGTTGGGTCTCCGTTGCTGCACGCAGCTTTCTCTAGTTGCAGCGAGCGGGGGCTACTCTCCGTTGTGGTGCACGGGCTTCTCATTGTCGTGGCTCCTCTTATTGCAGAGCACCGACTCTAGGCGCGCGGGCTTCAGTAGTTGTGGCATGCGGGCTCAGTAGTTGTAGCTTGCGGGCTCTAGAACGCAGGCTCATTAGTTGTGGCGTATGGGCTTAGTTGCTCCGTGGTATGTGGGTTCTTCCTGGACCAGGGATCGAACCCTTGTCCCCTGAAGTGGCAGGTGGATTCTTAACCACTGCACCACCAGGGAAGTCCCAATTATTTAGTTTTATACCTTGAAAAAGGTCTAATGATCATATTTAACTTAATTAATATATTGAGTTGATGTCTTTTTAAAATACGATTTGTCTTTTAGGATAGACAGAATAGCAAGTAGACCTTGTAAAAAATACGTTGTGTGCTTTGCATCACATCTGTTTGATCATTTAGAATGGTGTGTTAAATGAGTCTGTGTTAAATTACCAGTATCAGTTCCTATTCATAATTTTTGTAATCTATCTTTTTTGTATCTTTTTATTTTGAAGTAATTTTAAGCATGCAGGAGATACTACAAGGGTAGTTGAGAGAATTGCCGTATGCCCTTTACCAAGATTCACCTGCTGTTAACATTTTGTCCCATTTCTTACTCTTCCTGTCTCTGTCTCTCATTACACACACACACACACACGCACACGTGTACGTGCGTTTGTATGACAGTATGTGTATATTTAAACACAGTTCTTCTGAATCATTTGAGAGCACTTGCAGACATTATACCCATATACCTCTGAGTACTTCACTGTTTGTTTTCTTGTGATCAAGAATTTTCAAATTGCACTGCGGTTCTTATAGGAGAATGTCTTACAAAACTCTAGTATGATTTTCAAAACCAAGAATTTAATGTTGACACATTGTTATTATCTAATCTGCAGCCCATATTCAAATTTTGTCAGCTGTCTCACTAATACCTTTTGTAACTGTTTTCAGTACTTTGTATTTAGTTGTCCGAAGTCATCTTTGATCTGGAAAGCTCCTCAGCTTTTCTTTGTCTTTCATGAATTTGACATATTTGATGTGTATAGATCAATTACTTTAAAAAAATACCCCTCAGTTTGGGTCTGTTGGATGTTCCCTCCTGATAGTTTTGGGTTATTCATTTTCGTAGGACTACTGAGTAGTGGTTCCTTTATGTCAGGAGGAGTGTGATCCAGTTTGTCCCATTTGCGGGGAGCGGAGGGGTTTCTCTTTGATCTTTTGGTTAAGGTGGTGTGTGCCAGGTTTTTCCATTGTAAAGTTGCTGTTCCTTTTTGTAATTAATAAATGATTTGTGGTGTTATACTTTATATAAATACCCTGTTCCTCCTAAAATTTCAACCATTAGTTCTAGCATCCCTTGGTACTCCTGGCCTGAAACAGTTGGTGCGGTCGTTGCACATTGGTGATTTTTCTGATCCCATCATCTCCTTTTGTGCTTATGTGCAGCTTTCTGCCATAAAGAAGAGGTTTCCTTTCTTCACTGATTTATTCATTTATACCAGTATTGACTCAGGGATTCTTCTTCTTCAGAATGGATTGTAGTCTGTTGCTGTCATTGTGTATTTTGCTGCCCACGTTGTGCCAGGTCTGGCCCTTGTCACCTGACTTCTGTGTCCTTTTGGTTTGTCCCACTGTTCTAAGTTTTAACTGAAACAACCTGGGTTTAAATTTTTAGGAATGAATGACTTATTTTAGATGTTCTATGAAGAGTTCACTCTAATTATTTAAAAGTTTTCTTTTAAATGTTAAGAAATTTAAACACTGAGCTCCCTTAAACAAAATACCTGCACGGACCCACTTTGTCTGTGCCTGTGCTCAGGTAGTGTCCGTTGCAGTGATAATTGGTTATTTTCTAGAACAGCTTTATTGAGATGTATTTCACGTACCAAACCATCTGCCCATTTAAAGGATACAATTCAGTGGTTCTTTGTGCGATCATAGACTTGTACAGCACGACTGTCGTTAACATTAGAACATTTTCATCACCCCAGAAAAGAAGCCCTTGTATCTGTTAGTGTTCATTCCCTGTTTCCCCCAAATTCACCAGCCCGTGGCACTCACTCGTCTCCTGTCTCTATGCTGGACATTTCATATAAACCGAGTCATATAATATATGGTCTTTTGTGACTGGCTTTCATTTAGCCTGATGTTTTCAGGATTCATTCATATTGTAGCATGCATTAGCACTTCATTCCTTTTTATTGCCACATAATATTCTGTTGTAAGGATATGCCATATTTTTATTTATTCATTGATTAGTTGATTGACAGTTGGATTGTTTCAACTTTTTGGCTATTATGAATAATGCTGCTATGAACATTCCTGTGTAGTACAAGTTTTTGTGTGGACTTAATATTTTCATTCCTCTTGGGTATACCTAGGAGTGGAATTGCTGGATCATAAGGAAACTCATTGTTTAACCTTTTGAGGAACTGCCAAGCTGTTTTCCAAGGTGGCTGTACCATTTTACAGTCCCAGTAGCATTATATGAGGGTTCCAATTTCTCCACATCCTGGTCAACACTTGTTATCTGTTTTTTTGTTTATAACTGTCTTATTTCGTATGGAGTGGTATCTCATTGTGATTTTGATTTGCATTACCCTCGTGGTTAATGTATCAAACATCTTTTTTGTGGTCGTGGGCCATTCGTGTATCTTCTTTGAAGAAAT